CTTCCTAGAGCAATCCAGTAGCCTTTTACCTCTCAGTGCCCGTGCGGAGCTTCGCTCTATAGCGACTGAAAGTCGTCTCCCCCACCCCCTTATAAGTATGAGCCCCTTAGGGATGGGTACCCACTAGCCATGTTAGTTGCCTCTTACCTGACCCTTTTTACTGGATTTCTTGTCTTTCCTGATTGTGAATAAGCGCCGGGCGACATGGGGGCAAAAAAAGGAAAGAGAGGGATAGGGTTTCTCTCGCTTTTGGCATAACGGGCCCCCAGTGGGAGGCTCGCACGACGGGCTATTAGCTCAGTGGTAGTGTGCGCCCCCAATTTATGGATGGGTGCTCCTAGAGTAGTCGGTCTGGCCCTGAACCTACGTGCCTATGACTTCATTTCTCAAGATCTTCGTGCATGAAAAATGAGCACCATGGAAATACATGACACTCAAAGAAACGAAGTGGCTTAGACAAATCTTTTTTGTCGATAACCTCAAACCAATCAATCGGGCTAGTGGGTACCCATCCCTAAGGGGTTCAGGCTTATAAGGTGGTGGGGGAGACGACTCTCAGTCGATGTGGGATGAAACTCCACACGGGCACTGAGAGGTAAAAGGCTACTGGATTGCCCTAGAAAGGGGTCCAGGTCAGTCAAAATCCTTGAGTTCAGGGATGAGATTCGAACGCGCGATTTCTACCCCTAACAACCTCTTTTTGGTCATAGCACAGCATGATAACATAGGAAACTAGAGTGTGTTTTTGAAATTGATCAAATGAAAAGTTGGAGATGACCTGTGGCTAATCCAGTCCTGTCCAGCCCCCACTCCCATGGGTGGGTGCATCACAATGAACCGTTGTGGGTCACTGGGTGTCCAGTCTGTAAGCATTAGTGAAAGATAATGGAAACATTTGGTCGAGTCAGAGTCCCACGAAGCTCAAATTCAGTTGCAGATAGATAGATCTTCATCGAGAACGAGCAACGTACGGTACCCAAAAAAAAAAATTCGACATTTACAAATTTTGTGTCATTTATTACTTTTGGGGATTATTTACAAATTTTATGAGTCATTTATAAATCTTGAAAATTATTTACAACCTTTTTTTTTGGTTTAACGATCAGAGGGTTTCAAGCTAACTTGCGTATACTGCGACTAATTCTCTTCTCAGTTCTGTCAGAAGTAAGTCATCCACGTCAGTACTAGGGTATTTATGAGGGATAAATTTTTCATGACTTACTCTTAAGGGATTGTTAATATTCGAAGTCAAAATATTTGAATATACAACTCATTTTTGTTATCACGTGAACTGTCTTTTGTGATTATTTACAATTTTTGGGGTTTCTTGAGATCGATCCTAAATAATCTTAAAATTGTAAATGACCCTCGTGAAGTTATAATTCGAACCATAAAAATTATAAAAAAAAAATTGTTGTAAATAAACCTAAAAGCTTACTTGCCCAAAAAAAAAACCCTAAAAATTTGTATCTTAATCCATGAAATTTATAAAATTTGACAATAGGATACCAATCTTTTTTTTTCAATTCACCAACCTAATGTGGTTTCTTGTCACACTTTGAAAAAGTCAATGTAAGAACTAATCACTGGCTGTCTTTGTTGTAAGTGACATTTTATTCTTTTGGTTTTTTAACTTTTGTCATGTTCATGGAAAATGTCCCGCGTGAAAATTTTAAGGTTTGTGGATGTACCAATGATTTACTTAGGCATCATATGATATTGACGCTGCTGTTTCCTTTTGTTTTTAATAATAGAGAACCGATTTGATCCCGTATTTTGTGATTTAAAATATAAGTCTAATCAAGTTTATCGAACTTAAATTTGTTTAAATTTGACTCTGCTTTTTATTAGCTAAGTGCTCAGCGACGGTCGTAATCTCAACATAGAGGTTCTTCGTCCTTTAAAATTACGCAAAAGGCTTTTTTAACGTTGCTATGTTCGCACCACATACAAAAAACTTTATAATCAATCTATAATAATCAAATTCTCAAATAAAATCCCTCAAACTTTATATATTATCAACCACAAAATAAAACCATCGAAAGTTTAAAATTTTTAAACGTGTGTGTGTGAGAGAGAGAGAGAGAGACAGAGAGAGATGTAGATGATTTGGAGCTATTTGAAGATAAATTTGATACCCTTCTTAGATAAGGGTTGCTTAACAATAAAACTAAAATTAATTATATACATGAATCTATTCTAACCAAACTAAGTCTACTAAACTTTGAGCCATACAATTCTTAGATTTAGCTCATTTATGAAATGAGTTTAGATGTCTGATAAAATTTGACTTGTTTTCTAATTTGAATAAACTCAAACAAGTTAAAATTGAATTGAGTTAAAACTGTTTAAATTATTTATTAACTTATTCGTGATTACTATACATATTTTGAATGTAACTATTAAAGCTCATTTTTACTTCAACTTATACCATGATTATGCTTCTTCTTCTTTTCTTTTTTTTGTCCCTTTGGAATAATTACACAAATAACACCTTTTTACACAACCACAATCGGGGAAATAAAGGTGAAATATGTGGTCAAGGACATAATTACAAGCCTCGACTTTCTTCATCATGATTGTGCCCCTAACTTCGCCACCTTCTTTGACTTTAATGCTAAATAATCACTTGCGTGACAGTGCCTTTAGACAGTTAACCCAAGAACATAGAAATGAGATGTTTTGAATCATTGCCACTTTCTTAAAATGATTATTTTTCTTCTTGTATTTGTATGGGAATTCGGAATTTCAAAGTCCCTTTTGATTCAAGGACTTGACTAGGGTACCCCAAAAAAAAAAAAAAAAAATTTGATATTGCACCTCCAAAATTTACTACTTTAATAGATATTAAAAATTTTAGGTTTGATCTCAAGTTACACCCTCAAAGATATCTCAAATCTCAATTTGTACACTTAAAAATTAAAAATCTCAATTTACACCCACAAAGATATAAATTTGTATCAATGTGCACTTGAAGCTAATAGTCATCCAGTTTGCGGTCTAAACCTGGACCCCTCATGTTTGTCACTTAAGGGTTGGTTTGGATGGTTGTTTGAAAGGGGTTTGGATTGACTTATTTAAACTCTTCCAAACTTAAACCCCTCTTTACACAGATGAGATTCAACATTTAATCACGTTCATACCCATATTTGATATGTCCACGAATATATCATTATTATAATATATTTGCCTACAAATGACTATTTTGCCCTTTCATTTATCTAATCTAAACTCATGTTTATATACATACATTTTCTTTTGTCTTTATAGTTTTCATATTTAATTATTTTTTTTGTTCTAACTCATTAAAAAAAATATGAATGGTGATAAAATATAACTATTATTCATAATCATAATAAAGCGCAATAGAGTATTAACCCAACAAAATATTCTAGCATTTACATATACGAAGATACACACAAAACTTGTCCATTCCCAAATAAAACAAACCGGATGGACACATTTCTGTTACACCATATTAAACATCATTATATTATTTACAAACATCTCACATCTATTGATAACATTAGTCATCAATGATAACCAAGTCCACAGTAGGCCTATACGGAGAAGTGACTGAAGTGGAGCCAGCACTGGAAATAAATTGTTCATATGTCTCCACCTTCCCCAAGTGGGCCGAATATTTTCGTGAAGATCTCGTAATTGGGACAAGTCCGCATACATGCTCGAGATGCGAATGTGTCATCCTACAAAAAATGACAAATTGGATTTATACACACATATACATAATGATTCATATACTAATATACATATGTTAAAATCTAACAAAAATAAACCTCTAAGAAAGATAATCCGACTTGATTAATTGGGAAAAAAACTCGTTGTCCATTATTCCAACGGAACAATCCCAAAGCCTTCATATCTTTCATCTTAAAATGGCGTCTCTTCCAAATAACTACTTCCATAACTAGTCCAAGAGTTAATCGCGGTGCTTGCCGACGTTCACTTATTATCTCCCACAGACGATTCCAGGCTCCTTCGAAGAATTCACCCTTGTTGACAATGCGTCTCTCTAACTTAAAGTCCATAAAGCAATCCAACAGAACATCTTCCTCATCTTATGTTAGCCTTAATCGCCGCATTTCTTTTAACTGTGTTCTAATAATAATATCCACTACAAATGAATGCGCAAGAAATAAGTTAATAATGTAACATAAATTTGTACAGTAAAGTATAGTAACACCAATCCATAAAAGTGAATACATAAATTACAAACATACTATAATTTGATGAAAAAAATTTTAGAAAACATGATCATCGTACATGATCGTTCATTCAAACAAATTTTTCCACAAATGAGGTCAAAATATTGCAAATTATGAAACTCAATATGAACTCTACTAAAAAGAGTATAATTCTATTTTGTGGGACTAATTCAATTTATGGAGAGAGTTTTCTTCCAAACATTTCGTGTGACATGAGAATGCGTTCACATGGTCCAGTGGGTCATGGTTCATTCACAGTGTTGTCTTTGTTTGTATGCATTGGATTCTTATTTTGGTCCATCACTACAGCAGAAACGTGTACTGCTAAGGCCTCTTGTACAGTTTCGTATGATAAAAACGATTTGTACACTGCGATTGGATATCCAGTGACAAGGTCGTGGCATTCTTGCCAAGTATCAACAAAATCTACCCTTCAGCCATTAAACACAAGATATCATTCTTCTTCAAACTCATTTTCATTTTTGTTAATGCAGTCATGAATATTGTGATATGTGAATAACACAAGGAATTGGATACATTTTTAAAACACAAAAATTAAATATCCAAACACAATAAGCATAAATAAGTACATTATGATGGAAAAATAAGCCTACAGAGACTTCTACATTGTCTAAATACTACTTTCACACACAATATAGGAACAACAACGAAGAGGAGATGACTTAACATCGTTGAAAAGATTCTAGAATAAGCGAGTAAGGATAAGTACTACTTGTCCATCACAGGTGCATTACCCCATAGCACACCAAGAAGTCATGTTAGTCTCTCATATTCTGGCAAGCTCATGAAGAGATCCACCTTAATCGAGTCACTGGCAATTTTGTAACCCGTCTTGTGTCGGTGATCCATCGTTAGGCCATCGATTTTTGCCAACTTTGCATTCAGTTGACGCCTCACCTCTGCAGCATCTTGCTCGTAACCAACCCTCTAAGCAATGTTTGAGAGTTGTTTTCCACAGCTCGACACATAGTCAGCAAATATGTCGGTCATTTTATTTATGCTACATGCAATTCCATTAGATGGTTAACCAGTTTTCTTCCTCCATTATTTACGGCTTGTGGGTGTGTCGCCTTGTCCAACCAACCATGTTGAGGAGTGCTTTTAGACATTCCAATGTCTGTCATGTTTACGTCAGTGTCGACGGCATCCTCAATAACATGCACATGAAACCTCGCATTGTCACCCCTAACCATCTCTTCTAAATCTTTAGCATACTTACCCGTTGCACGATCTTTGCCAAAAAATTATGCTCCAGTCATTGCAGTAAGACCATCTTTTCTCATGCATTCTTTTTGCATTGCAGTCTTTCTAAAAAACATGTCATTAGTGAATGACTTAAGCTGGATTATAAGGGGTGGAAAGTAAGTACCTTGACAAACTCAACCCAAACGTCGTCTCATTGAACATCTATCCTTTGTTTTGAGTTGTTCCAACCGAAACCTAACATGCTAAGCATGGTAAAGAGTGTGGTGCAGGTTTTCTTCTAGTTTTTAATCTTCGACTCAATGTGTAGAGTGGCACGTAGGACAGTTCCACCAAGTACGTCTGATAAAGCCTTCTCCAAGTGGTGCAAATAGCTTGATCTGAACGCCCTGTTTTGGGATTTTCAGCCCTGATTGCACATGTCTTTAAGCGCGTTTTAAAAAAAAGATTCTTCGAACGATGTCCACATTCGTCTCGGTCCCTTATCAAATTGTGAACTTCCCCTAAATTGTGAACTCCCGACATTTGTCATGTCACCACTACAAAGTGTTGAGTTAAGTTAACTTTGCCAAAAAAAATATTAAATTCAAAAGGCTTTAAAGACTTTGACATACACGTAAATCATCCACTAATACCTTTACTTACATGGAATAAAACTTAACAAAACAAAAACAGTAGGCGAAAGGAATTCAGTAACAACATACAACAATCTTTACCGACTAACATCAAGCAACCTTAATACACCACCAGTCATAGTTGCTAGTTGCTCACACCATGCAGCCCAACCATGAGAAAATTCAAAGCTATCAATTATGTCATTATCATTCACATTCTCATCTTTCAACAGATGATCATCCAACTCTTCTTCCAACGGATCATATTCCATCTCGTTCATAATAAGATTATGCAGTAAACAACAAGTAACAATGATTTTGTTGTGCGTTGGTATCAGGTAAAAACACGTTGTCCTAAGGATAGGCCATCGCATTTTAAGTAGCCCAAAACACCTTTTTATGGTATTGCTTGCTATTGCATGCCTCAAATTGAAATACTCGTGCACGTTTCTAGGACTGTGGCACACTCAGCAAACTCCTGCAAGTGGTATCACTGGCCACGAAATGGAGCCAAAAAGCTTTCTCCATTTGTGTACCCAACATCCACAAGGTAATATGTACCTACAAGGGCACATAATTGAATAAATCTAAATTTTTCAAGAAACTTACCAAGTAACCAAATGTCTAAAAAATAATTTTTACCACGTTCCACCTTCAACCCATTCCGTGTTGTAATTGCACCTCGCAATACCCTAAAATCAACGGCAGACCCCTCCTACCCAGGCAATATGTAGATAAATTTTATATCTTGCTTACAAATGCCCAACACATTAGTTGTTGTCCACCCTTTCTTGTTCCTATATCTACCTTGGTGTAGAAGGGGTACTTTGGCCCTAACATGTGTGTCATCTAGTGTCCCTACACATCCCTATAAAACCAATTACGATGAAAACAAATGATTACAAATGTGTACTTCAAATTTGGTTACGAAAAAATGACAACCACATTGCTCGTAACCATCTACCTTGAATCACCGCCAATTGAGATCACTATACCCATCTGCAACAGGTTCGGGACTCTTCAAGAGCAATCAGTTCAATATAAGAACAGCGTGTAGAACCGTGTTGAGTGTCTGCTCACTATCTCCCCAGATATAATGAAGTTGAACTTAATTTGGCGATTCTTGTCATCGTGTATTATGACACTCAAGAACATTGCAACCATCTCTTCGACACGCACATTCTTTGTGTTGGTAAGCCCACCGACTTCCCTAACTAGATAGAACAACACATGGAATGTATGACTATCCATCATAAGTTTTTCTACACATGTTCTATCACTTTCTCCGATAAGCCTATGGAGATGCTCACTTTGTGCACGAAACCTATCAACTAACCACGTCAATACCCGTGTCTTTCGCTTTTCATTGGTTCATAATGCAATCATAACCATCAAAATACAAGTACAAACAATAACGAACTCTGACTAAATTATTAAGAGTAACAAGCACAGTTGCAACATTGTCATGTTTACAGGTCATACTCACTAAAATAATAACACAAAAACCTCCATAATATCACTATTAATACATACAAAATAAAGTGGCAAAAAAAAAAAATTGTGCGTTATGATTATTTTATAATTTTTTAACGTTGATTATGAATTAAAATATACGTAGTGAAACTAATCTTTAATTTTATTATGAACGTCTTTTAATTTATTCATGTCTACTAAATAACTTAATTATTGTAAGACAGAACACTTAGTTGGTTTATGTTTCAATAAGAGCTTTATTTGATTAGCTATGATTACAGGATAACGGCATTACAAAGCTTGATTTCTAAATAAAATCTAGCTTAAGTTTGATTTTTGGTAGGAAATGGGTCGCATCAAATTCCTCATTGTAGGCATCTTAATTTAGTTAAAGTCTAGAAAACATTGAAATGATATTTATTGTTACTTGAGAATGTTATTCACTTATAAGTAAAAGAAGCAACAATATTGAGCAAAAATGAAAGGGTTAAAAGGCTGAATAAATTTATATCAACTCCTAAATTACATGCCTCTCAATGTAGCTGAAAAGTTATGTGATTAACTATCAAAATTGTTATTTATTATATTTAATTATTGGTTAACTGCATGTTATTTGTGATTAAATGTGTTAAATTCCTTAATTTTCTAGTTTGATACTTTTTCTAATTGTTTGGTTTATTTTACAGGTAAATTAGTTGATTTAAAGTAATATTGGATAATGCAAATGAATCAATTACTAGAGGAAGAATCGTTACTGATAAGGATTGAATAGTCAATATTGAGATTGGAAGACTTGAAGATAAATCAGCAATTTAATCTTTATAAAAGTTCAAGTTGGAAGAAAACTCATTTAGAATTGAATTAGGAAAGTATACTAGAAGATAAAGATTTGACACGTTTTCAGTATTTTGGTCATAACTTTTGACTCTGATATCCGATTTACTTGATTTTTGGGGGTGAAAAAGAAGACTTCAAAGGCTACAAAAGTGTATTTCACAAAATTTTCGTAATTCAACCTCTAAATATGCGAAATTGAAGCTCAAAATTTGCACAGATTTTGTACCCGTGTCCCAAAGATTTTATACACGGGATTTAATCTTACAAGACTTCTTTTTGGAAAAGGAATTCTTTCCAAGACAATCTTATATCTTCTACCGATACTTACGATTATTTTTAGTATAAATAAGGGTTCTCATTTAGAGATTTTTATATAATTCTTTTTTTTCCCTTTTTATTTTTATTTTAGTTCGTCGTGTCCAGTTAGAAGGCTAAGTTAGGGCTAGGGGAGGACCTCTTAATGAAGTACGGTAATGTGATTGATTCTGAGTTTAATGATTTATGATATTTTGTTAATTTAACTTCTGATATGTTAGCAAAGTTTTTATTCTGTACAAATCCTAGAGTCGTTATGTCATGTATATCGATTGCTTGAATTTCTCTGCGAGTAAATAACTGGTTATTCCACGCTTAAGGTAATTATCATTATTTCATAAAATAATATAATTTGACGATTATTCAGGTTTCTGAATAATCTTTTGATTATAACTTTTAATTTTCTTACTTGATTTGTTACTCGAATCAACCGACATCTAATTCTTGTCTCAAGTTAAGATTTGAGTCTTTAATCATTATTGTATGGAATTGAGAGGGAGTACCTAATGCTCTAGTATTTTTATTATTGTTTTAATTATTTAAATCAACTTTATTTGTTCAACAATTCTCTAAACAAATCATTTATTTTTAAGTTTGTTTAAGTGTTTGTGTGATTGATTTCTTGTTACAATTCCTTGAAGGTTCGACCTCAGTCTTCCGAGAAATATATTACTTTGCTCAACCTGCGCTTGGGTTTACAATATTAAAGTTAAAGCACTATGCACACGAACACGAATAATCAGATATATAATGATTTTTGCCTGTTTTTTTTTATATGTAGGTATATTTTCACTTCCCATTACATGATGTAAGTTTTTCGACTAGGTGCAAGATATATAGATCGACCCAGATGAAAAATGTAGCATATGTTGTGATTCTACCTATGCAAATTCATCCAAGTTTCAGCCCAACAAAATGAGTTTATTTGTTATTTTTAAGGTTCAAGTTACCATGGACAGTAGGTGTGGTGTAGACTTCTGTAGGGGATTTATCCGCGCGTTCGGGATGTCCTCCCCCCACAGAAGGATTTCAGCTGACCTGCGCGCGTTCAGCAGTAGCCTTTACCCCTCAGTGCCCGCAGGAGCTTCGTCCCACATCGACTGAGAGTCGTCTCCCCCCCTCGCATATAAACCCTTGCACTCAAAGGAGGAGGTACCCACTAGCGACCTGATCAGGTGCCTATTGGGTACCTCCTCCTTTGAGTGCAAGGGCTTATATGCGAGGGGGGAGACGACTCTCAGTCGATGTGGGACGAAGCTCCTGCGGGCACTGAGAGGTAAAGGCTACTGCCGAACGTTGGTCCCGAGTATAATGACTTGTTATGCCCTCTGGAATGGAGAACGACAAGTACGTCGGTTCCTTTGGGTTTATTATTTCTTTCTCCAGGTTTCCCATGTTCATGACAGCGTTTTTGTTTGTGCAGATATTCCTGCTCGGGAAACAGCTCCTCTCTGTCAAGATCCCTTGAAGATTAGAATATCGTCCTTGTACCCCTTGTCCGAGTCGGGAAGATGGGTTACAAGGTACATGGAGGGGTCCCTAGCTTTGAGGTAGAAGTGTTGGTGAGGTATGACTCTAAGGAGGGAATAACAAAAAAGAAGATCGTTGAGCCCAATATGTACCCCGAGGCGCCTATTGAGCTCTAAGACTCCCATGATTATTCGGAAGACATTAAGGCAGCATTGCCCGGGGAAGAGGCGGAAATGAGAGAGGAACTGAATAAGCAAAGGGGGTAAAGGAAACCTAATTCC